ATTTGAGGTTCACTCCCACGCGAGAAAGCTTCACCGAGAATCACTCATGCTCAATCGTGCTCCTCATCTTTTTTGGTGACCGAACAGCCTGACAGTCGAAAATGATCAAGCAGCTCTTTGTGCTCGCTGTGACAATGCTCACTTTCGTCGCGTGTGTTGTGGAAAGTGAGATCGTGCAACAGCAAACGACCGAGATGGAAAATCTCAGCAGAGCCAAAAAGGTCGTGCACTACCTGCGAACCATGCAGGACTCGCTTGCCATCAAGGAGATCGCCAGGCAAGTGTCCTCCGACTCGAACTACACGCCCTGGACTCAGTGGACTCGATGCTCAAAACGCTGCCGTCAACGACGCACGCGCAGATGTCTCCCGCAATCTCCGTCGAACTGCGAAACCCAAAAGCAGTCGAGAGCTTGCACGGGGCACAAGTGTACGTCGCCGAGCAACCGACCCGGCGACAAACGATCATCGAACTCGACATCGAGCGACGCGAAAAACTTCAAAGTTCTCTACAATCTCCAGTCGTATGTGTATTCGCCGTGGTCCGACTGGGGACCTTGCTCGAAGAACTGCCGTACCCGCAGGTATCGGAGGTGCATCATGCCTATAATTTGCGGAACGGAGACATACGAAGAGGACGCGCTTTGTTATTCGGAAGGTTCCGCCTGCGAGATCCTCAAGCCCAAACCCCAAGCTCAAGCAATCGGTAAGCAGCGATTCTGTGGATTTTCTCACCTGAAAAAAACTGTTTCCGAAATTCGCCTTCGACACATGGCCCTTCTGGGTTGAGGCAAAGGAAATCGCTCGTAGAAAAATTGTTGTGCTTCCCGTCTTTGTTGTAGAATAGTTGTCTGTCAGAGAGTCAATCGCGCGCAAACGAGAGACTGCAACTGTTACGGAGAGGAATTTCATTGCTACTCCTCATGCTTACGTGGACATTCTTCTTTTCAGTCGCTGAGCTCACGCCCGACGTGTCGCAAGCGGTGACCAACCAGAGCGAGTTCGAGTGCGGAGTCGCCCCGGTCTTCCCCCGGCTGAGGATTATCGGTGGGGAAATTTCACGGAAAGGCAAATGGCCTTGGCAGGTGGCGCTGCTGAACAAGAATGGAGAAGCCGTTTGCGGTGGGACGATTCTCGCTCCCGGTTGGATTCTCACAGCTGCTCATTGCCTCCGAGGAAAGTTGTTCGTCGTGGCCGGAGAACATAACTTGAGACGCAGGAAACCGTTTGGTGAGATTCGCG